CCCCTGCTGTCTCCCCTCCCCCACAGCCTCAGCTCGCTGTGCTGCCAGCGCTCTGGGTGGCGGGGCTGTGAGCTCCTGCCAGGCAGCACGGCGGCATGGCTGGCTTTGGCCGGGCAGCGCGGCTGCCAGTCCCGGTACTCTGAGTGGCATGGTAAGGGGGTGGGGAACGGAAGGGTTGGATAAGGGGCAGAGGGTCCCAGGGGGCAGTCAGAGGACAGGGAGCAGGGGGCAGAGATTCTGGGTGGCGGTGGTCAGGGGATGGGGAACAGGGGGGTTGGATAGGCGTGGGAGTCCCAGGGGCCTGTCAGGGGGCGGGGGTGTGGATAGGGGTCGGGGCAGTCAGGGGACAGGGAGCAAGGGGGGTTGGATAGGGGGTGGGGTCCCAGGGGGCAGTTGGGGTAGCAAGTCCCCGGAGGGGGCAGTTAGGGGACCAGGAGCGGGGGGTTGGATGGGTGGGAGGTTCTGAGGGGGGCAGTCAGGGGGCAGGAAGTGGGAGGAGGTGGATGGGGGTGCGGACCATGCTGTTTGGGGAGGCACAGCCTTCCCTACCCGGCCCTCCATACAGTTTTGGAACCCCGATGTGGCCCTCGGGCCAAAAAGTTTGCCCACCCCTGCCATAAAAACTCTGGCAAACCAGCAGTGCCCATGGTTTGCTGAGGGAGCCCTATCTCCTGTTTACCCAAACAAACTGTCACTTGAGTATTTGGCAGTGATTTAAAAATATATAATTGACTGTATATTTAAATCATTTCCCCAGATGTTTAAACTTCTTTTACTAAGAGGTTATTTCTGCTCAAATTCACACTCTCTTTTTTTATTTTAACTCAATCTCAGGTAAAAGGAAGGGTGAAAGATTAGACCTGAATGAACACAGGGTAATCTAGGGTGCCAGGGACAGCAGGATTGAGGTGCTGCTAGGGACAGCTGCTGGGCGCGGTGACAGTAAATGCTTGTTTCTCTGTTGCCTTCTGCAGCTGTTTAAAACACAGCAAAATGGGGTGGGGGCTGGAGGGGGGGGCAACTTGTATTTCCTTGAATAAGGACCAACATAAACAATCTCAGCGCCTGCCTACATGTCTTACATTTATTAATCACTTTCCCTTTGAGACTTCAGGACAACGCTACCAGCCACACATTGGCTGTTTTCTTCTCCTTCTTTGTACAAAAACCTTAATTTGAAAAGAATTAAGAGGCAAACAACAAAATGCAACATTTAAAAGATGATTCCACAAGGCAATAAATAAATAATTGTGCAGATCATCAAGCAGAGAGGATGATCCAAATTTACATTGTCACAAAACCGTACGGTGCCAGTATACCATCATGAAGGGAGAATTGAATCTGACATTTCAATCTATCCATTCTTAAATTTAATTTAATCTATTAGGTGCTGGGAGTCTTTCTATTGACTCTAATGGGAGTTGGGTCATGCTGTTGGAGTAATGACACTTTTATGCTGCTGAATGTACTTGAAACTTTGCAGCTCATACTGTTGAAAGGTGATATTGACACAAGAGACCCTCTGAGGTTGGTTTTGTTTTTTTGATCACCTCTGCTTTCTGTCCAGATCCACTTACCTAACAGATTTGGGAGTGATCTTATGCAAAGAAAATTGATGGATTCAACACTCTGCTATACACATACCTTCCCAGTCCCCGGCTGCTCCTTTCTTGTGGAGTTCTGCAACTAGATCTCCTGCTTTTCCTCAGTAATTTCCTCAATTAGCCACTTTATTTTACAGACATTTACATTTAATGTGGAATTGGCTGTAAAAGTTTCATAAAGACCTCACAAAGGAAATCATTAGCTTCCATCTACTTCAATTTATCTAGCAAAACCTTGCGGCTAATCCAAAGGGAAAGAGAGCAACCATAATATACCAGAAGCCTTTAACAAATAGGTTATTTTTCCTTGCCTATACAATGCACCATTATGTACTTTTTTTTTTTCTAATGAGAACAATGCAAGCAACAGTGATGGGAAACAGCAAAAACAAAAGAGGCATTTATAAGGAACTGATCTGCAGGCTGAAAAGCACTGAATAATGTTACACCTGATAACAGATACTTTCTCCAAGGACCTCAGCTAATTTAACACCACAATATTTACTTAAATAGGATACAGAATGGGATTCTAAACATACAAATTATGAGTGCTTAGGCTCAGATTGTTTTATTGAAAGAGTTTTCTTAGATACTAAGAAACACAGGCTTGAACTGGAGGCAAGTGTTTTACTATTGCACAAAATACTAAATTGAAATCATGTTAATTTCGTAAAATGCAAGCTACAAAAGTTTCAGTGAATTCAAGATTATCCTCAGGGTGATCAACTCAAACCCACTATGAGATGAGTAAAGGATGCAGTGGTCAGCCTTGACTTTGAAAATTATACCTTTGGTGTGTGTGACAAACTCCCGTATCCTGCAAACAATTACCCACGTGTTTAATTTTAAGGACATGAGCAGTCCCACTGATTTCACTGAGACTCCTCACGTGAGTAAAGTTAAGCACATTTGTGATAGTTTGCATGATCAGGGACAAAGTTTTTAAGAGTTACGTTTTTTTACATTTTTATTTTATATATTGTACTTAAACTCTCTGGTTTCCAAAGAGCTTCTATTAGAAGCTTATTAAATGTACATACATATTTTAATCCAAAAGGCTAGAAAAGCTACAATGGTTTTATTAGATAAATACATCTGTAGGTGGCTTTACTTGCATGTGTATATTTTTTTAAAATTATTAGAATTGATGTGGTGACCTGAAATATTTCTGTTGGCTATATACACAAGTACAGATTTAGGTCCCAATCCTGCAAAGAGGAACATGCAATGCACTTCATACTTAGCAAACAGTTCCAGGACTTTATGATTTCAGTTGGCATAGTGTGTAAACTTAATCAGGTGCATAAATTTGTCACGGTCAGAGCTTTTCCTAAAAGAGCAGAGGTGTTCTTTTAATGCTATTACAGGTGTTATCTTCTGTGTTTAACTGGGGTTGCGATCCTGGTGAAGGACAAATAAATGTTAAATTTAGGGTAAATTAAGGGGTAAACTAACAAATGTTTTTAATATGCATACATTTTCTCCAACAGCTCCTAGTGGATCCTTTGCTATTAACACAGTCAATTCCACACATTTTATAATTAGGTAGTGCAATAAATAAATAAATCCAGTATGACATTTCTTCCAAAAATATAGGGCCCAATCCTGCCATCCTTACTCATTGACTTCAATGGAAGTTTTGCTTGGGTAAAAACTGCAGGATCAGGCCCTGTATTATCTCTGCTTTAATGAATTATAAGAAGTAATTCTTTCATATTTTCCTTTAAAAATAGCCTTTTACATATAAAGCTTCAGCATGTAGATCGGCTGATTACAAAGTTATTTTTCTTTTTGCCCTTATGAAACAAATAACCAATACAAGCAAATCTGCTCCAAGTCTGAGAACTTGAATAAAGAGGAGAGAATTTTATGAATCTCAGCAAACAAAAAGTGATAATGGAAAATAGGGACAGATTATAATGATGCTAAGAGCAGCATAATTTAAGTAAACACCTTAATCAGATCTGTTTCCTTATATGTGGAAGACAGCCCCACCCCCTGCCTGTATCTCCTTAAAAGGATGCATCACATGGGACTTTTTAACCCCTTCCCTAACAGAGAAAGGCCCTGATGCAAACACTTATGCATATTCTTGACTTTACTGCTATGAGTAGTTCCATTGATTTAAAAGCAGCTACTCACAGTGGTAAGAATAAGCATTGAGCATAAGTATTTGCAGTGTGTAACTTTATTCAGGAGGCGTCTTTGACATCAGGGGAACTCCTCACCTAAGTAAAATTAAGCCTGCGTGCCTTTGAAGGATTAGGGCCCTCATTCTGGCTCTGAAATGAAGTTGCTTGTAGAGACATAGAAGGGGGAGGAGATATTCTGATCAGGGTTCATAATCCAACCATAGGAAGCAAATGTTTCAAACTAGAAAGTTAGGTAGTCACAGGGGGGTTAGCAAGGGCTATGAGGGACAGTCGCAGGTGAACTACAGGTCACTATCAAGCTGTTTTTTTCCCCAGATGATAAGAAGACCAGACTAGGAGAATCCTGCCTCGTTTCTCCACACCGCAGAGGGCCCTATGGAATTCTAGGTGGGCTAGGGTGACCAGATGTCCCGATTTTATAGCGACAGTCTCGATTTTTGGGTCTTTTTCTTATATTGGCTCCTATTACCCCCCACCCCAATCCCGATTTTTCACACTTGCTGTCTGGTCGCCCTAAGGCGGGCACATCTGGATTCTTCACAGATGAAGCCCCCTGTGCTGAAGACATCTAGTCATGCGCTTAACTTTGCTACCACAAATAGTGCGGACTACTCCCAGCAGTAAAGTCCTGTATTTCCAGGAGGGAGGCTTTTTAGCTAACTTTGGCCTAGCCCGGCGAACGTTGGATCTTGTTTCGTTTAAAAACGCCAAACCAAACAAAACAAGCCGACCCTCCTCGCTGATTTTAACGAGGATTTCTGTTCAAACGCGGATGGCCCGGTTAGAGCCTTTACCGTTTACCGGGCGTTACGATCATTGCAAAAACAACAAGGAGTCCGGTGGCACGTTAAAGACGAACAGAGTTATTTGGGCATACGCTTTCGTGGGCAAAAACCTCACTGCTTCAGAGGCAACCGAAGAAGTGAGGTTTTTTACCCACGAAAGCTTATGCCCAAATAAATCTGTTCGTGTTTAAGGTGCCACCAGACTCCTTGTTGTTTTTCTCGATACAGACTAACACGGCTCCCCCCCTGATACTTGGTATCATTGCAAAGAGACACCAGAGCCGAGAGCAGCCCATGAAAAGGCCCCCGCCCCAGCTTCCCGGAAGGCCGGTGTACACTTGCAGGGCCGGGCCAGGGGCTGTTGCAATGCGGCTCCGGTGCACCGGGGCGGGGGAGTCGTGCGGGGAGCGGCCCCGGGGACGGGAGGCGGAACCAGGCCGCCGGCGCATGCTCCAGGCATGGCTGCGCCCGGGGAGACGCTGAGGAAGAGGAGGGGGGTGGAGGCAGCCCCCCGCCCCCCCCCCAGCGGAGGGGGAGCAGGCGCCCCCCGCCCGGCCCCCGCTGCGCCCGGGCACCTTCTGGCTGAGCAGGATCGTGCTCCTGCGCTGCATAGCGCTGCTCTACTGTGAGTCTCTGCGCCCCCCCCCCCCCCCCCCCGCGGGGGGGGGCCCCCCCCGCCCAGGCGGCCCCCCCCAGGCCAGGCTGCCCCCCCCCCCCAAGCAGGGCCCTGCTGGCAATGCGGGGTGACCCCCCGCCCGGCAGGCGGGAGCGAGCCCTGGCCACGTGTGTCCAGCCTGCCCTACTGCTGGGGTCCCCCCCCCCTGCTCTGCGGGTGCCCAGCCCCTACCCTGGCCCTGCTTCAGGCCAGCAAACCCTTGGTGCCCCTTCCCCTTGGCTCCCCTCCACAGTGCCCTGCCGGGGGGGGGGGGCGGGATTGCCACCCGCTGACCCCTGGGAAAGTTGGGGGTTCCAAACCCGGTGCCCAAGCACGCGGGGTTTGTGAGGGGAGCAGGGCAGTCTTCTGTGTCTGTACAGCGCCCAGCACAACGGGTTTCCCTGGCGGCGGTTACCAGGCAGGGAGGCCGCTTAAGAACATGAGATCAGCTGTCCTGGGTCCGACCAATAGTCCATCTACCCCAGCGCCAATGTCCGATGTTTCAGAGGGAATGAACAGAACAGGGCAATCGATCGAGTGGTCCAGCCCCTGTCGTGCAGTCTCAGCTTCTGCCAGTCAGAGGCTTAGGGACACCCAGTGCGAGGGGTTGTATCTCCGACCATCTTGACTAATGGTCATTGGTGGAGCTCTGCTCCAGGAACTTGTCTGATTCTTTTTTGACCCGTTATGCTTTTTGCCTTCACAACATCCCTTGGCAAGGAGTTCCACAAGTTGACGAGGCGTTGTGTGACGTTTTAAACTGGACCACCCTCTTTTTGGGTGGTTTGTCCCCAGTCCTGAGACAAAACTGGACATGTCATTTTGAAGAGTATGTTGCTCTCTCCTGGCTGGTGTGACTTGGCACACACCAGACCAGCAAGAGTGGGGTGCTCTTCACAATGGTGTCCCCCGTACGGTGTGACCTCGCATGCAACATGGGGCGGGGTCAGACCAGCGGTGACAGACCTAGGTAGTTCCCGGAGGTACCGAGATGTCTGGTGTTCCAGAAGTGTGAGAGTGGCCACCCTTCTCCTAGGTGCTATGCGAATACAAATAATATAATAAAAAAAAAAAATCGGGTATTTGTGGGGAGAGGAATCCACATTGCAATTTCTTCTTGGCTGCTACTCCAGCCCTGGAGTTGGGAATGGGCTGTAATCTCAGTCCATCTACATCGGGGTTTGCAAATTGCTGGATCAGTGCAGAGGGTGGGGGTGCACTAGCGTTAAAAAGAATAGCTTTTGAATATGACTTTAATAAGTAGTTTTGTACAATGACTAAATTTATCCACTTTTAATAAAGTGAGATAAACAAGCTCCCGTTCCAAACTTAGTGTTTCCTCTATTTATTTATGCCATAGCTAATTTTTGTAGGGCTCTAAGCCCTGCCAGGCCCCTGTCGTCTATGCCTATGCAGTGTCATCATTGTATACCCTGTGGCCTGGCCCATTCTATCTCCAGGCTTCGTCTTCATTGGTCTAGGTGGAGCTGGCACAAAGGCCAGTTCAGTTAGGGTATGTCTACACTACAAGCTCTACAGCGACCCAGGTGCAGCACTGCAGCTACACAGCTCTAGTGTAGACACTTGCTACAGCAACTTAAGGGCTTTTCCCGTCACTGTAGTAAATCCACCCCCCGTAGAGGCGGTAGGTAGGTCAATGGAAGAACTCTGGACCGGTGTCTACACTGGGGTGTAGGTTGGCTTAACTACATCACTCAGGAGTATGAGTTTTTCACACCACTGGGCTACATAGCTAGGTTGACCTGTTTTAAATGTAGATCAGGTCTTAGTCAGTGGGGGATAGAGTCCTTCCTATGCTTGCTCTGTGGTCTCCCATCCTCAGGGCAGGTCTACGCTTAAAACGTTGCAGCGGCACACACCTTTTTTTCACACCTCTGAGCGACGTAGTTACAGTAGAACCTCAGAGTTACGAACTGACCAGTCAACCACACACCTCGTTTGGAGCTGGAAGTATGCAATCAGGCAGCAGCAGAGACCCCAAATATGGTACTGTGTTAAACGTAAACTACTACAAAAATAAATAAAGGGAAAGCAGCATTTTTCTTCTGCATAGTAAAGTTTCAAAGCTGTATTAAGTCAACGTTCAGTTGTAAACCTTTGAAAGAACCATAACGTTATGAACATTTCAGAGTTACAAACAATCTCCCTTCCCGAGGTGTTTGTAACTCTGAGGTTCTGCTGTATTCCGATATAGGTCTGTAGTGTAGACCAGTCCTCACTGTGTCAGGGAAACTACTGCAGTTCTGCTGTGTTCCAAGGCTTCGAATCCCAGCCCGCCCTCAGATAAATGTTACCACGTATATCCAATAAATACCCCAACAGGGCATGTATTTCACCCTGCTCATACTTGGTATATTTTTCCCGGGGGTTGCAGTATTCTTTGCTGTACATGCTGTTTATCCTGTTCCAGGATTCTGAGACATATCTGTGGGTTTTCCCCTTTTAGAAATACTCCAGATAAATTAATGAGAGGTGGAGATCTCTCTTTTGTGAGTCAGGGTGGTGTGAACATTTACCTTTGTGAATGTCATTATTTTTTCTTGACTTGCATTGATGGTTGCAGATACCAGTAAACGTTGGGTGTTTTTTTCTTTGTTTTGGTTTTTTTGTGGTGAAAATTCTGTCCTTTGGACAAATAATATGTCAGTCCACCTCAGATTTGCTTTTGGTGGAAGTGGGGTTTTGCGTTGCAAAATGACATCCTTCCGCCTTCTAAAACTTGCACAGGTTCTTATGGACACGGGTTAATCACAAAGAGCAGTGTTATTCTGGTAAAAAATGTAGATGTGGGGAGGAGAAATGAAAACAGGACCCCAGTTCTGCAAACAGGCACATGCATAACTTTACTTGGGGGGAGCAGTCCTGTTACCTTGAACTTGTTTACTCATGTTATGTGAGTAAAGTGAAGCACATGTAAGTGCTGCGGGATTGGGGCCTTCGAGTAGAACTGTATTGCAACCTGAACTACGCAGTTGTGACTGTTGCCTTTATAAGGGAGGCTCTGGTTCTTGTATCAGAAGATTGATTTTTATGGCAAAATCTCGGTGTAAGGCTGACTTCCATTTTTATTTGGTTGTGTGGGTGGCATATGGAAATCTTTATCTGGATTTTAGCAAAGCTTTTTATTGTTTGGGGGAAATCTCTCTCTCTCTCTCTCTCAAAATACGTTTGAGATGTTTTACATAAGGTTAGCATGTACATTTTTGGTATGATTGTTCTTGTGGGGTAGCATTCCACACAGTCTGGTTGATTTCAGGTTCCATTCCTTTGCTCCTCTCTTATTAAATTCTTTTAATAACAACCTTCTATCCTAACTTCTGCTGCATACCGCTTGTCCCTCCCCGTCCCCTGCAGAACTCCTTCAAAAGCAGCACATTTTGTTGCTCACCAAGGATTATAAAATAATGAGAGCATCCCGCTTACCCCAAGGACTGTATCCCCTGCTACGCAATAAACATAATGAGTCTCACCATTCTCAGCTAGGTTGGAGATAGAAACGCAGGGAAAGAGCAGCTTTGAGCACTTCGTCATCTGGAGATGGAAGTTGTGACTCTTCGCCTGGCATTCAGATTTGACCAGGTGATTGGAGGTCCTCGAGAGCCAACACTGTGCAAAGTCCTCTTGACGATAGGCCTGCGGTGTCAGCAAAATTCCAAGGAGAGCCAGTTCACATCATGAGGCCTTTACACATCTGTTGTGGTTGGATGCATCTGGTAATCTTTCCCCCGCCCCGAAGATGTTGTGAACTAGGGAAATTCTTCTTATCACCGAGACATGTAGAATTTGCTTCCGCACCTGGACAATAAGAGCCAGCGGTTCCCAAGGACACCAGTGTCACTAAGAGCAGCAGTGCTAGAAGTTACCATTTCTTTTACTTAATAATGAAAATGGTGAATGGAGTAACCAGTTAGAGCACGGCATGGACTCTTTCTGTTCTGGCCTTAGCAAATAGCATTGACAGCAATGTTCAGTGATCGTAAGTGCTGTGCAAAATATTCGCAGTGAAACCCACATGCATAACACGCTTCGTTACAAATTCTAAATTTGTCCCTGATCTGTCCACAAGATCAGTAAGATCTGCAGACCAGCAGCCTGCTTAGTGTGGTTCTTTTGTGTTTTTTTTGCATCAAAACCATGCAGAAGTTTCAGTTCGGTGTGATTTTTTTTTTTGACACATGCTTTATTTCCGGTTTCTCTTGAATTGGCACTAAAAGCCAGGGGTCTGAATCTCCACCAGTTAAAATGAGAGAAATGTTGATCTCTACCCTGTGGAAGTCCAGTTTGCTGAGTTTCTCACAGCTCAATTTGCTGTTTCATATGCAAAGCTGATTAGTGGTCTCTGATTATGAAGGCTGTTGCTTTCTAGACATTAATTTGGAGCTTTAAATACACCACGTTCTGCAGTAAATTTTGTTTTATTGTTTATATGAAGGTTGGCCTGGGGACTTCAACCGAAACGTGGGCTTCATTATGCTAGGCAGTGGACAGACCTTGTGAAATCAGCCCTCGCACCCAGCGGCAGCTCCAGGCACCAGCACTCCAGGCACGTGCCTGGGGCGGCAAGCCGCGGGGGGAGCCCTGCCGGTCCCTGCGAGGGCGGCAGTCAGACAGCCTTCGGCGGCTTGCCTGCGGGAGGCCCGCCGGTCCCGCGTATTTGGTGGCAATTCGGCGGCGGGTACGCCGAAGCCGCGGGACTGGTGGACCTCCCTAGGGTGACCAGACGTCCCGATAAAATCAGGACGGTCCCGATTTTGAGCTGTTTGTCCCACGTCCCGACCGATCTCAATTTTTGTCCCGATATTTTGTGCCGCTGGGATCACTCGGCTTTTTTTTTTTTTTTTT